TGACTTAGCTCCACGTTACTGCCGGATCACTCACCACCGATGCAAAGTAATGTTCTGTGTCCCCCGAAAAAAAAAATTAAGAAAATCTTCCTCCGTTAAAATAGAATAAACATGAATAACCTGTTTTATGAACCTCCTAATTGTCCATAATGTTCACTATTATTTCAATAAAAAAGTTGACAAAGTCTTTAGTTCAATCTGATCTGTTCCTTCCATTTAGTCCACAGCCAATTGTCCACGACTCATGACAAGTAGATTCCAGCCTCCTCTGGTGTGTCAAATGCTTTAGTCTCACCTTTTTTTCGGTCATGATGAGTGTAGATGGGAATCAAAAGATTTTTTGCATTTTTTTCTTTAATTCGGCAAATCGGGACCTCTGCTTCAACACATCCGAGGTCAAATCTGGTAAAATGTGCACCCTTTTCCCTTTGTATTCTAGAGATGTTTCTCTGGCCAGCTTCATGATTAACTATTTCGTTTGGTAATGATGTACCCTGATGACAAACACTCTTGGACGATCATCTCTCGGTCTTCGCTGAGCCCTGTGCGCATGATCAATCTGGATAGGTTTGATGAAGTTTTTGGAACCCAGCAGTTTTGGAAGTAATTCCGCTATAAACTCGTAGGTCTGCTGTTTTCTTACTTCTCTGCAACTCCCATCAGCCGAATTTTGTTGCACCTGGAACAGGACTTGAGGTCTTTACATTTATCTCTGAGTCTCTTACACTCATCCAGTAGTTCTGCACACTGTTTTCTATGCACGTCAGATGGGTTTGATGGCGTTGATCGTAGCTCAGTCAGTGTTTGCGTGAACGTGTCGAATTTTTGGCTAAATGAAGCATTAAGGGCTGTTATGGCATCCATGATGTCTTGAGTGATAGGAGAAGTTGTGCTAGGAGAAGTTGGGCTAGCGTTAGCGCCGGTTGGCCTCGGCTCCCCCGTAGCATTGCTCGAGGCCTTGCCCTGATCGTCGGCCTCTTCATGTAGTTTACCGTCTTTTTTCAAATGTTTTGGCATTGTTGTGGTTTAATTAACTACTTGACTTACTTCTGAACAACTTTAAAGGTTAAATGTTAAATTTCAGATTCATTCATTATGAAATTATTCGGAGTATTAGCGGAGCTTAGACGAAAGCGGTTTTCTCCATGCGAACCGGAACCCCCTCCTACAGAAAAAGTTTAAAGTTCTAATTTTCTATATTGTGTCACTAGAATGTCCCCTAGCACCCTTTTTTTTCTTTCTTATCTAGGTTCTATGCTCTTGTTGTTTTGAGTTCCTGTTTCCTGTCATGTTAATTTTGCTCACTTGCCCCATGTGATGATGCAAAAATGGATGGTGTTATGTAATTATTGCTGGGGAGCATCTGACTAATGTATTTGTCTAGCAGCTTTTCTCAGACTCTATTATTCAATGCAATTTCATGGCTGTGCAGTACGAGTTCAATTTACCAAAAAGAAGCGGCTCATTAAAGCTATATACTCACAAATCAGTTGGACTACTCTGTTCATGCTGTATGTGTTTGATTTACTAAAAAGAACCGACTCAGAGTAATTTGTTCAGGAATTGGTTGGATTACACTGGTCATGCTGATTCAATAAAAAGAACCAGCTCATGAACATTGTATAATGTATGAGTTTCACTAAAAAGAACCAGCTCATATCTGTAAAATGCAATAACACTGTTAGCACTAGATAACACCTTATACTGTGTATCTTAGACCTGACTAAAGCATACTTTGATACAAGTTTTGTTAAATTTAATTGCAGAAATCATTTGTTGGTCATCATTCCTCTGCAGATGCTACTTGGTTTGATATTTTGTTATCTAATGCAATATAACTCATACCTTTCAGTAGAGGTTTAGGTGTTTACTGTATATAATATTTGGGGCCATAGACCTGATGTTTTTCACTGTCATTATACTGTACGTACATCTGTCTGCATTTGCCTGATATTAATGTCATGAATGATATGTTGATACTCTTATTAGTCTTTGCTGTTTGATATGCAGATTGATTTAGATGTATTATTAGCAAAATGTGCTTTAAGAGACAGTTCAGAGGTGGAGATCTGGTCCTCCCTTAGGAAATAGGAGTTTCTTTATCAGAAAGAACTGAATGTCTAATTAGCATACTAAAGCTCCTCTATCTTTAATCAGGCCAGTTTCCTGTCACAGAATGTGGTGGTTTGATTAATATCGCGGCACTCTGCCATGCTGTTAAAACACTTTAAATGTTTTTCTTAAGTCTATTTCATCAACAGCGTTGGAAGTTTCAGTCAGACACAGAATGATTGCTAAATATGTGACTCCTTCAAAACAGATGAACAAAGTAATTAAATTAAGGTAAGAAATAAAACCTGAAAAAAAAGTTTAATGTCTTGCGCATGCTAATCAAGCCCTTTTTATGGCTTGAGCAATGAAGGCTTAGGCTCTGTATATTTGATAACCAAAATCATTATAGTGATTTTCTGGAAATTCCCCTCAGCTCGGAAATGGAAAACCAGCAAGAGGCTACAAAGAAAATGTCCAAATGTCATCATGTAAAATGCATTGTGTTTTGACAGGGTATGTGGCCTTGTGTGCTCCTGCTCTAGTGTTCTGACAGAGGCACGAGATTCTGGCACATTTCGACCTCTCTGTATGATGTTTTATAAGAAGCGCTAGGCATAACCTTTTATGCCTAATTTAATGGAAGTAAATGGTGGTTCTCTGGGAACAACCGATTGCTTGAAATATAAAATTTTCCATTATGGTTCCAAAGTGCTTCTACGTTGTTTAAGTCTTGATAAAGCATTTTCATTCTCAAGTTTCTCTGATCTAAAATGTTCATGCTGGCGGTATGACTCCAAAGAACAGATGGTTACACTTTATTTGAAGGGGTGTGCATAAGACTGACATGACACCTTAATAATCATGACATGACACCTAGAATATGAAGGTTTTTTATGCCTGTTTATGACAACTGTCATTAAGTGTCATTCGTTCAGTTATGCAATTTTTAATGCAAAGATGACATTGTTTGAGATGTCTTTGTTATGGGCTATGGTTAGGGGTAGGTGTAGGGTTTGGGTTAGGTCAAATAATGTCATATTTGCATTAAAAATGACATAACTGAGCGAATGACACAATGACAGTTGTCATAAACATGCATAAAACCTCCCTCATATTCATGACATGTGTCATGTTATGATTATGAAGGTGTCATGTCAGTCTTATCCACACCCCTTCAAGTAAAGTGTTACCGAGCAGATCAATAGGTTAATTTAACTGTCAGTTAGAGCTGAGAATATCATTTGAGAATTTAAATGGTCAGATGAAAGCTTTTGATTCTGGAATCATGGTGTCGAACACAGTCAATAAAGGGTAATAGGCTTGTATTGGGATTGGCACCTTAAGGAATTTAACAATTCCATTTCCATTAACAATTCTATGTAGTAGTTTTGCACACAAAAAAATGGAGGGGGGGGGGGGGAATGTTACTTTTTATCTTTTTACAAGCTGTCATATGAACAACCATTTAGTAAGTGTACTGATTTAAATTATTAGTCTTAAGTATAAAATGTAAGCTATGTGTGTTTAATTCAATAAAAAGAACCACATTTGTTTGGGAATTGGCTCAAGAGTGTAATGATTCAGTCCACTGAAGGCGAGCATAGTGAGAACCCATGTGCAGTTTTATTTACAAGTGATCCAAACAATAAACGAAGACTTGACTAGACTTGACTTGAACAGACTTAACCAGGCATGAACAGACTTAACTCACCGACAGCAGATTACAACATCAAGACACAACAATGAACAATGGAAACATAAGGGCTATTTGTACCAAACAAGAAGGGTCTCAACTCATTTGTTCAGCAATGGACAAACAGAACTGAAAACCACATGACAAGACCATAGACCAATAAGCACAAGACACATGACTAAAACAACAAATCAGAACATAACACAGACAAGGGAGTCACATGACAGAACATGACTGAGGCCTAACTGCAAAATAAAAGACATGAAAACAATGAACAAGAAACAAAACCCAAACACCACATTACAAAGAGAGTCATAATAAATGAGTTGGATTACACTGGTCAAGCTGTCAAGCCAATTTTTATTCACTTTTGATTAATAAAGAAATGGCACATTAGAGACGTGTTTGGGAGTGGTCATGTTGTATCTTTTGATTCACTAAAACAAAATAGCCAATCACTTATGTATTACACTGGTCATGCTTTATAAGACTGATTAAAGAAAAAAAAATATATATAGCCTAGCTCATTGGAGAAGTGGATGGACTACAATGGTTGGAATGTATGAATTGAAATTACTAAAAGTAATGGACTAATATCGACCAATAATATAATAAGCTCATTAAAAAAAGCACTGATATGAATGGAGTCTTCTCTGGAGTGTACTGTATATGATTTTTAAAATATTTTCAAAAGTACTGGACATTTCTTTAGTGGTAAAACTTTTTAAATGAAACATTTACTATAAAATTACTATAGTATAAAAAAAATTACTAAGCACACCTTTTCTGGGGAAAGCTTGTAATTCTTAAGTCATGACACTGAGAACCCATACAAGGCTAATCTTCAAATTAAGTTCCAAAGGTAAGTTTGAGAGGAGCCTAACCATTCAGTCCTGTCAATCATCATTATGAGGGTATATAAGCAGCAGTCATTGTGCTGTCCCAGTGACAATTCTTCCATCATCCCTCCACCTCCCTTTCTCCTCTATTTATTTCATTCCTCCTTCACATCATACAATTATAGGGGGGTTCTAACTCAGAGCTCAAGCCGAGCCTCAGGTTCAAGCCTTCTTCGAAGATAGCAAGCCAAGTTTGTTATCTAGTCATTATGTCATTATCTAGCAGGACTGAATGGGCAGGCAAACTCGTGAACCAAAACAAGAGTTACCCTGCTATCAAGAATGCTTTCGCATTAACATAATCATCAGAAAGAAATAGCATATTTGGCCTTTGCATTGTTATTTCTACACCTTACTTTGAGACCAAAGAGAAGGCATCAGCACACACGGGCGGGCAGGGCACCAGTCTGACCAGCATGCTGTCTGCTGCTGCCTGGAAGTGCGCCCGCGCCACACGCTCCAACACGGACGCCAGAGTGGCAGCATCACCTGCCTTTCCTCCAGGGTCGCCACCTCCGGAATCCAAGATATGACCTCCATGAATCACCAGGATGAGCAATTGTGTCCTGCACTTCCTCTGCAGGAGGGAGAAAGAGATGGAATTAGTAAAAACTGAGAGAATAATTAAATGTGATTAGAAGTGGGATAATGAGGACTAACCACCATGTCTTCCAATCCATCCACACTGCTCTGTGGCGTGCATCGAGGGTGCCGCAGCCTGTACAGGCTCTCTAGTGGTCAATGAGAGACAAATAGAAATAGTGAGTGGTTGAACAGACTTTATGCTTTTCTGCAGTGAGGCAACAGTTTCTACCTCAAACCATCTGTCTTATTGATGACTGATGGGACAATCGTATTCACTAAAGGGCCTTTCGCATCGCTTTAGTTCCAGAACTAAATGTACAGTACTAAAGTACTGGGACGATTTTGCTCGAACTATTTCCCAGTACCATTAAAAGGGTTGTATTCGCACGGACAGTGTACGTAAGACGGTCGACACACAGTGACGTAATTTGTGCGCGGCGTTCAACAACGTAAACAAAGAACAACGTTAACAACAGGAGGATGGAGGACGCTGTGATCGGAGCGGTGTTTTTTGTTGTCTCGCGGGTTTCACAATAATGGACATGGAATGTCGACGTATAGGCTGCGTAAAGCGATTGAAAGAACGGAAAAGAAGACTAAGAATCTCCAACGACAACTGGCAGTGCTACATTTGCTACAAGTGCCTGCACTTCAGCGTCCGTCCATCTATCGCTGTTCTCCATACTTGCGAAATAAGATGACACAATGTTTGCAGTATGTTTACACGGCGTTTTAAATCAATGCGGGTGAGGGCGTTTTCATACGCGTTTGGCCAATCAATATGTCTCATGTCTACTTGCGTCACGATTAGTACCAGTTGTGCTGGTTAGACCCTGCTCCAGAGTAGGAGCTAATTTGGTTCTCGAAAAAGGCAGTCCGGTACTAAAATCACTCCCAGTTCCGGCGGTGCGAACACGGCAAAAAGTGGGTAGTTCCAGAATTAGTTCTGGTACTATGAAAAGGTTCCTGCGGTGCGAAAGGCCCTTAAGAAGAAACCAGTATGGAATGGTCTTAAAAAATCAGTCACTACCATATTGTTGAGCCAGTTTGGCTAAGTCTTCTTCATTACTGCATTTTCTCACTCTTTAAGGGCTTTTCACACTTAAAATAAGTGTTTAAAGATGTCATATGATTTTAGACCCTTAGACCACTGAATCTCAGACTGCATTTCACACATGCGCTTTGGCCACACTGGGATGCTAAGGTCATTACTACACTGCATCTTTACATCGCAAATAGTTGTTTGCTGATTATCCTTTGACAAATCCTATATAGCACCTTTAAAGAATATTTGAAGCGGTCCTGTCTGTAATATCCTTAATAAGTAAAGCACGCATTGAAATCCCTGACTTAATTTATATAGCCTACACTGTACTTTATATGTCAGTGCAAATAATGTCCAGTAGATGTGGACATCTTAGAGTGGTTCAGGTATGACACCAGAACCCGGAAGTCTAATTCGCAGCTGGTTCCTTCCAGATTTTCCTATGGGGTTTTATTATGGTGTTTTTCAATTTATGAGTAAAATAAAACGTCTCCAGGTTAC